CCCATTGGCACTTGTAGGTTCGGAATTTTCTTAACACGGAACTACCAAACCGTTAGATTAGTCGCGCAGTTCATCCGATAATATGGTTCTACACAGTTGGCCTCCGAGATCACCCGACCTAACCCCATGCGACTTCTTCCTTTGGGGATTTGTGAAGGATCTTGTCTTTGTATCACCTTTACCTACAAGTGTAAATGAACTGAAAAAAACGCATTTGTGATGCTGTACAAACAATTACCAGAGATACATTACACCGTGTTTGGCAAGAACTTTCATATCGCAATGATATCATACGTGTAACGAAAGGAAGTCATATTGAACACTTGTAAACAAAAACTCACACATTTTCCCGTTATATTCGTGTTTGAATTATAATTTTCTGTGTGTAATTTTTTAAAATATACATTTTTGAAATCGGATGATTCTTTCCGGGGAACCCTGTACAACTTTAGAAATTCTAAATAAATTCGGTCTTCTCACTTTTGTGAAGCAGTACATGCCAGTTAGTATTACTGCTTGGCAGGTTTAGTGTTAAGTTCCTCTTATTTTCATAAATTTATTCTGCAACCATGGATGACGTTAATAATTTCGTGATTTGGTGGGAATCGCTTGAGTATGTCATTGAAAATAACTCGTTAGGTGTGGTTACGGAAGGAATTTCTAGATTTGAAGGAAAATGATGTATATAGGGTGTCCCATAATTTTGTTAACAATCGGAATCCTGAAGTCGTTTAAAGTAACTTTTTCCTTAGCGAAAATGCAATCCGCGGCTCCGTTTACGAGTTATTGACAAAAAAACACTGACCAATAGGAGGAGAGCTTGCTTAGCGTTAGGCGGCCGAGCCAATCAACGGAACTGGGCTTCGACCGCTCGTTCGCTCGGCCGCCTTGCGCCAGTTGATCTTGACTCTTATTGGTCACAGTTTTTCGTTAATAACTTGTAAACGAAGCCGCGGATTGCATTTTCGTTAAGGAAAAAGTTACTTCAAATGACCTCAAGAATCACTCCTTTCCGTGCGTTAACATAATTATGAAACACCCTGTATATGAGTGGTTTAGTATCATAGTGGCGTAAGTCACATTTTTCTCATTGTGACAAATAAGGACTGTTATTGTTTACTGACATGCGCATCGTTTACTGACTAATTGTGTCGTTAAGAAAATTTAGAATTAAGTTAATGTATGATAATTTTATAATTTATTTGTCTTGTTAATATTTTGGCATGTATAGATTACATTCAGGACATAAGCCAATATTTTCGAAAATGTGACTTTCGCCGCTACGATTCTAAATCATTCATATGTTGCGTACAATTTAGAGTTTGCGTACGTTTGAAAAT